ATATTATCCAAATTAAATTTGACATTATTCTATGAATTTCAATATCCCTGTCGGTTACTTGTGATATGGATATAATTGTAGACCTTGCTGGCCCCCTATCAACGTCGCATCGATGAAAAAATTGGTGTACCAATAGAGAAATTAGTCTATCGATAGGGAATTTTTCTATTTTTGTCGCTTTTGTTCGATCGGCGCATTTTTGTCGGTAACTCGACTGGGAAATTGATTTTCACATTTTTCCTATCGGTATTTCATAGTATTTCCGTGTCAATTTTGTGCTAACAGGGAAATTTCAGTTCCTAGTAGTGGGACCTATGCCATTATATTTTTGCTAAAATAAAAGATATCATAACAAACATGTATCTTGAATATGAAGCTTCCTTCTCTCTCCTATTTACGCGTTTGCCACATCACAAAAAATGCACTATACAATCTAATTCACGCACATGATGCTATATCCATCACTACTATAAAAATTGTTCTATAGATGCTACAATACATTCCTAGATGTGGCTGCCAGACGCCTTTGAATGCAGGCATTTTTCATAGACCCTTCAACCGTCTCTAGAAGTATAATGTAGATGTTATCGCCTTAAATAGCCGTATCTGGAAAATAGGCAAACCACTTAGTGCAACCACCTGTGAAAACTCGTTAGGACTTGCCTAGCCATACCTCGACCTTACAATCTATCCAAACATAAATTTTAAAAGAATGTACTTTCTTCGCTTTAATGTAATCCCTCTATTCCAAACCATAGGTCATTTTTATTTTGTATTAAATAAAGCTTTAAAAATTAGATTTTATACAAAATATATTAACACCTACAATCCTAAACAAAAGCACAATCAAGATATGTTCGAGGATTTCACAAAACTAATTTGATATTGCTGGTCCATTTTTGTTTATACTTGATCAAAGTGAGAGAAGTTTCACTCGGAACAAAACTAAGGGTTTGTTTGATAGAGATCCAAATTCTAGGAGAAACGTTACAAATTCAATTTTTCTAGAGAAACTTTCTAAACAGAATCATTTTCTGAAACGGTTTGACTAGCTGTCTAGATTCAACTTCTGAAAGAGGAGAATATGATGAATTTGACCTAAGTGCCCTGGCAAGGTCAATGGACATAGGGACTTCGGGCGATGACCTGGTGAGGTCGTCTATGGCGGCTTTGGGTGGTAACCTGGCAAGGTCGACGTATGGTAGCTACGAGGGGTGGTCGGCAAGGTCGAGGGGCTTGGGGAGAGGTTGTCGTCTGGGGGCGTAGGGGAGGCGGCGGCTACCTGGAGTAGTGCGGTCACGGACAGCAGCAGCCATCCGCTGAGTGGATAAGGTAGGGTGGCAGTGGCTGTAATTTTCATCAAAAGAAAGGAGAATTGAAATGGGAGGAGCATAACCATGCGAAACCATCCGATCGGTGTTTCGAGCCTAGTCGCCTGGACAAAGGTGAAACATTTGAGCTTTAATTCTTCATCCGATAAAACCGTTTGGAACCGATTTTGCATATTTTGTGAGAATTGGAAACATTTCAAACACCCAAATGCACCCTAAAATGATGTACAATTTTGGAGCCGATAGAAGAAAAAAAACAAGGCCTCCTTGCACACCCGGTATGCATGATTTCTAGGGAATATTCTCAAAGGAGATGACTCTGTCCCAAATGACTAGTACTCCAAACCAAACATCTTAAAAAAGAAAATGCTCGTCCCATCCCACTTCATCCAAAGAACCAAATACATACTTATTGTTTGTGTCAACACATTTACTGAAGGACACGAGAGGCTTGATCATTTAAATGCTATCAGATCAAGCCAAGATAACCAATATAGCAACAAGCCACTTTTTTTCATAAGTTCCCTTGGAGGACCATGCTTTGAGCAAAGACCATGACATGACGATAATAAGCGTCGGTTGAACCATTGTTATGAACGTGTGAATCGGCTTGATGAAGTTGGGTACCTCGATTGGCGATGGTGTTCTTGATGGGAGCAGTAGAGAACGTATGCAGGTCACACTAGATAAAAAAAAAGGCGACAGATGGCAACGGAAATATCATGAATGTCTTCAGATAGTTACACGGGTTATATGTGACATGGAGAATCAGAATTAGGGCCTGAGGATAGCATCTTCCCCAAGGTCTCATTAGTTGTGTTTGATAGAAATAGTTGATCGATATGTGACGGAAATATTGTTAGGTTTAATGTCACATCATAAATTGACGCGGGAAGGATTATAAAGTGAAGACAGTTCTGACCTATTAGAGCAACTCTAAGAAGACTTTCTATATTGCGAACACAAGGTTGATATGTGCTCTTGTAGTTCGTTTTGTGATGAGTGATTATCAACGTGATCCATGACCTAGGTTGAGTTTGCGACTAACCATGGCGTGAGTGTGTTGTGCAACATGTCTCTTGGCTTGCGGTGTGCAGGTGTGGAGCTCGGAGGCGGTGGTCGACGGCGAGGTGAAGGTCAAGTAGGTACGTGCCGTGCCGATGGACCAGGAGCGGTGAAGGACGGACGTGAGGCTTGGATTGAGGGACCAGGAGGCCGGGTGACCAGCCGTGATGGCTGACAACTGGGACATCGACAAGCACAAGTGTGCATGGGAGTGACCGTGTTGACCGAGTCAAGACGGCGGACGTGAGAATCGAGCGGGGCTCAGGAGGACTTGGCGGCCGGCTGGTCGAGGACGGCGGTGACACGTGTCGAGTGGCGGGGGACGCGTATGGAGAACGCTACTCGCGGGCGGTTTGGTGGTTTGGGCCTCAAAACCATCGGTGGCCGGTTTCATGGGTTTGGGCCACAAAACCCGGCGCGGAGGTTCGGAGGAGGAACGGACGGCACGTGGCGGCATCGAGGAGTTCGCGTCGGGGCGAAGCTATCTCATGAAGGGCACAGTGGCCGTCAAATGAAGGTTACCTCGGGTTGGACCATAGTGCCCTCGGGTTAAATGGTTCGACTCAAAAATATTTAAGGGCAAAGCTAGGATTGTGTAATAGCCCTGTTAAATAGGATGAGGGAGCTCCCATCTCCCTTACCTCTTTCATTTTGCTTCATCCTTCTCTAGGTTTTTCTCTCCCCTTAGGTTTTCTTGTGAGAGAGGTCCACAAATTGGATAATTTGTGTAAGAACCAAAGATTGCAGTGGGAATGGAGGCCCTAACCTCCTCGTGTCGTCCAGAATTCGATTTGTGAGTTGTTCTTGTGAATCGCGTTTGTGTTCTTCGCGTTCTACCTTTCCCCCTTCTCTTGTGTGGTTCGATTTGTCGTTTTGAGACCATTTTGATTCGTTCCTTTTGCACTGAGAAGAACTAGGACGTGAGTTGAGCCTTTCCACCGAGGGATTTCATCTAATTCCTCACGAGTTTATAGATCGGGGCAAATCAAGCTCTGAGGTTGGAAAACCGATGTTTTTTGTGTTCATCCAATTTTCCGTTGATTGGCTTTAAATTGGGGGATGATCTCCTAGAGGTAGCTCACCTATTGCCTTGTGACCATGTGGTTAAAATTTGGTGACAATTGGTTTTGATTTGGTCGCAAATCGGGATTTTCCTTGCTCCGAGCATTTTTCGGGCGACTCTGTTCGTGCTAATTTCGTGACTCGCGCATAGTCTGCCCCTGACCCCTAGACAGTCCGTCGTTACTGTTCACGTCGCGAGCAGAAGGACTTCTTTTGGTTGTGTTTTGCTTCTCTGAACGTCGGACAGTCCGGGCCTCCCCGCGGACAGTCCGGGGCTGTTGCTGAAGAGTATCCAGAACTGTTTCAGCAAGTTCGTTTTCTGGGGTTTGACTTGCGGACAGTCCGGGATCCAACCGCGGACAGTCTGCCGTTCTTCTTTCTGTCCAGGTCAGAACTGTTTCTCATCGTTTAGTTTTCGAGGGTTGAACGCCGGACAGTCCGGCCCTCAACCTCGGACAGTCCGGGACCTGACCCGCGGACAGTCCGGGCTCCCTACGGCAGACATTCCTGGCCCTTGTTTCCATCTATTTTTTGTTGATCCGTTGTACCTCTTGGTCATCACCAAAGGTATCCAGCCACTCGTTGGTTTTTTATCATACCATTTTCTAGTGCCTTTGCTCTTAGGTCGTAATTTTGGGACAGCGGCTTAAAGTTTCGAAAGAAATTTAAGGCTCCCATTCATCCCCCTCTGGTCGCCGTTTTTTGTCCTTCATATATCCTTCCTAACTGTTAGGAATAGAGATGTTGGTGAAAAATACCCAACAACAACTTCTTTATTTTGTTATCTAAATATAGCCATCTTCTATTATGGATTTTTCGCTAGCCAAAAATACAAAAACGAGAATGGCTCTCTAGAGTGCAAACAAGATATAAAAAAGTTATTGAAGAGTAGAAAGATATAAAAAACGATTTTTATGTGAATGGTTCTTAAATGATAATTTAGAAGGTGAGCTTTACAAAGACTTTGAAGATGCTCTTCTAGGCTTTTTTGTGTTGATGGGTTCAGCCCAAGGCCTTAATTAGTTGGCTATCCCTGGACTGGTAGAACTGGGTCTTATGAGATGATGTGGCGAGCTAGATCCGAACCGATGTGGACTCTAAAATTGTTAGACTAGAGTGCCAGTGGCGAGCTAGAGTGTACCTAGCGCAACTGATGCGAAACGACGTGTAGCCTAGTGGTTACAAGAGCCTCAATAGCATCTGAGGTCCTATGTTTGACTTCTCATGTAGATGAATATTACATGATTTAATGACATTTATGTTTTCATTGATAGACGACGTTCCCAGCGAGACGGGACTTCGTCAATATCATATCGACGAGTGTTTTATCCGATCAATACTCAATCCAAGCAAGAGGAAAAAAGACACAAGAATCATTTTTGTTATTCCAAATAGCTGTGGTGCATGTCGGGCCAACAGAACGGACACATCGATCATCATCAGCATGCACGCACGGGTGCATGATCTATTCGTCAAACAACAAACACAAGCGGCGGCTCTCTTCTGCCGGTGGACCGATTGATCCGAGAACAGATACATAAATCAGAAGGGGAGGACGTAGAAGCCAATGGCGTCGAGGTATTGGCTAGCGCGAGCGAACATGCCGACGATGCTGCCGTTGTTGAGCACGGGGATGTTGAAGGCCGTGCCATCGCCGTGGCCGAAGGGCCCGTAGGTGGCGCGGTTGGTGACGAACTTGAGCCAGGCGACGGTGTGCGTGAGCTCCCCGAAGGGGCCGACCGCCCCGGCGACCTCCGTCACGTACTCGTCGGGGCCCAGGGTGATGGTCTCCTCGCCCACGCCTCCGGTGCTGCCCCAGGGCCCGGCGGTGTGCAGCTTGCCGTCCCGGTCCCGGTAGGAGAAGGAGATGCAGTCGACGATGAAGCCATGACGGAGGGAGATGCTCTCCAGCCGCTGCGGCGCCACCGTGATGTCGTAGGCGCTGCCGTGGTCGCCGCTGCCCCACGGCCCAAGCTTCACCACCGAGCTCTGCGGGCAGGACAGAGGGAAATAAATGAGCAGATAAGGTTCATTTGCATTGTCAGCTCCAGTGGACAAGATCGATGGCACGGTGGTGGAGCTAGCAATAGCAACAGGAGATGAGGAGAGGAATGAAGGAGACCATGTCGCCGTCGCGAGCTCACGTCACCGCCGGCGCCAGAACTGAAGGAACGAGCCGAGGGAGGAGGGATGCAGTATTGCAGGCACATGCTAAGCTTATACCTGGGTAGTTGGCACTAGAAACCAGATAGAGAAAGCTCAAATTTGGACGTGCAGTGATCTTGTGGTTGTTGGTTTGCGCGGCTGTGCGGCCTCCACGTACAAGGAACCACGTTTCCTGCGCGGACAGCGACAGGGACAACGACAGGTATCTCTCTCTTCTGACTGCTAGGATCAGATGAAAGCTACTCCTACCAGCTACCTGGATGTACTTGCATCTCGTCGTCTGCGGCCAAAACTTGCACGAATGGCTTATTATATACACATGACTATCAGGCTCTTCTACCGGCGAAGACTTCGGATACGCATACGGACGGAGGCGAAGACTTCTCGTACACGTACGGACGGATATCACTGATATTATATTTATTTTCATACTCTATTTGTCCTTAAATAATTGTCGTCGTTGGTGTGCGTATCATAAGTTTGACTCGATTTATAAAAAATATGTGCAACATTTGTATCTCAGAATTAAATTTATTAAAAACTAGATTCAAGGATCTTTCTAATGATACTAATTATGTATCATAAATATTAATATTTTTTAATATATATTTAGTCAAAGTTGTTTATCAGGAAACGAAAACGGTAGATATTTAGGGACAGAGGGAGTATTTCTACTCCGATTTGGATTCGAATATGGATAGTGTCAGCTATGTCGCATATGATACGACTGGCTGTCGACATCATAAATATGCGATTTGAGTATTTCGGATACGGATACGGTATCAGATGTTGAATATTCGGACTCGGATACATATAGATCTGAACTCGACTAAACAAATTCAGTCTCGAATACGATTAAAAATTTTCCGTACCGTTTTCGTATGTACTCCCTCCTTCTATGAGTAACTGTCGTTCTTGTTTTCTGAGAAGTCAAACTCTTTCAACTTTGACCAAATCTATATCTATATCTATACCTAATAATAAAGAGACAAAATTTTCGGCCATTTTTTCATACTTCTATTTTTTTGGTCCATCTCCTTCTAACTACCGACAATAGAGAGTTTCTTTCGTCCGGACTTATATATATATACAACCCGTGCTCATACAAATTAGAATAGCTATCTAACGTGATACGGAGTCCGATTCCAAAACGTATTGAATTGTGTATGGTCTATGTTTAACCAAAGAGTCCATACTCCTACACAAAAATAAAGTCCATACCTGATACGATTACTACACATAGGAAATTCAGTTTTTCCCTTTTCCTATTCCGTCTTCTATTCGGCCTTTTTCTATTTTTTAAGACTATCTCCGACCAGTTACTGTCTGATCCATTTTTCATTTTTGTATTTGTTCCACTTTTTTTTTTCTGATTTCCTCTTTTTGTTTTTCTTCTTCTTTTTCCATTGTTTCTTTTCTGGACTATCATGCCCTTTCCCTTATTATTTCGCATGTCATCTTTGTTTTTTTCGATTCTCTCGTGATTTTTCTTATAAACATAAAAAAATAATAAACACGATATTATGGGTCTTTGATCCTTCATCCTTCCCTAATCTTAATAATTAAATATTCCTACTACTAAATTATTGATGAATTGATTAAGAATAAAAATTATTATTATTATAACCTAGATCAGATAATGGTCTAATTAATTAAATCATGAATAGAAATCTTGGGCAGATTATTACCCAATCTAACGGGGAAACGGCAGCGGGGGTTGCGCCTCCAGCAGATGTGGCGCCGCGGAGGCTGTGGCGGCCGGGCAGCGAGGCGGCCATGACAACCTGTTGGGGTGGGGAGGCGAGCGGAGAAGGTGCAGGGGGTGGGGAGGAGGTGGCGGATGCCGGCGAGGTAGCTGCCGCCGATGATAGCGACGGCGAAGCGGACGCAGCCGCTAGGGCGGAGCCCTAGGCGGGCTGCCTGCAGGGATTCCTCTTTTCCACTGAACTTTTCCGTTGTTTCATGGATAATTAAGTATGTTTATATATTTCTACTGATTTTGCACGACATAAAGAATTTGCTAATTTTGCGGGCATTATTCTAAATTGCACTTTTATAGGCGGTCAATGTCCTAAAGTAATTATTGCTTCATTGCCGATAGATTGTAATTAGTGCAGAAGGACTATAATATATAAGGTGAAGACACTAGTTTCTGTGTTGAGTTCAGCCTAATGCCTTGTTGGCTACGGCCCCAGTAGAACGACCTTACAAGATGATGTTGCGAGCTATAGACCGGATTCGACTAGCTAGAATTGTTCGGATGGACTAAACACTTTAGTCCATTTTTAGATGCCAAATAGAAGCTGTAAATATGAACTAATTATGGACTACTAGAGGCTAATTGATGTGTAGAGCTCATAATTTTTTTTTCTAATTAGTCTATTTTTATCCTATTAATTTAACGACGGACTAAACTTTAGTCCGGTGATCAAACATGCCGTAAAACTACCGCCGCTGTCGTTTTATCCCAGCTATATCAAGTCATCAGACTCAATCCAAGCAAGGGGAAAAAAGACACAAGTGTCATTTCTATTCCAAGTAGCTGTGGTCCATATCGGGCCAACAGAACGGGATGGGAACATACATGGATCATCGAAATAACACCACACATCGATCATCACGGTGCACGCACGTGTGCATCATGATCTCTTCTTCCGACAAGACACACCAGCCGTTGCGATCATCCAGGCGGCCGGCGCGCGCGCGCGGCTCCTGCCGGCTGCCGGTGGTGGATCGATTGATCCGATCCGAACAATGCAAAGAAATCAGAAGGGGAGGACGTAGAAGCCAATGGCGTCGAGGTATTGGTCCGCGCGAGCGAACATGCCGACGACGCTGCCGTTGTTGAGCACGGGGACGTTGAAGGCCGTGCCATCGCCGCGGCCGAAGGGCCCGTACGTGGCGCGGTTGGTGACGAACTTGAGCGAGGTGATGGTGTGGGTGAGCTCCCCGATGGGGCCGACCGACCCGGCCACCTCCGTCACGTACTCGGAAGCGGCCAGGGTGATGGTGTCCTCGCTCACGCCTCCGGCGCCGCCCCAGGGCCCGGCGGTGTGCAGCTTGCCGTCCCGGTCCAGGTAGGAGAAGGAGATGCAGTCGATGATCTTGCCCCAGCGCAGGGAGATGCTCTCCAGCCGCTGCGGCGCCACCGTGATGTCGTAGGCGCTGCCGTGGTCGCCGCTGCCCCACGTCCCGATCTTCACCACCGCCGCCTGCACAGCACAGCCCAAGGTTTCATTTATCAGCTAGCTAGCTGATATTGCAAGGAGATCAGCAGTGCAAATACTACTAAAGAGACCGACCATGTCGTCGTCGCGATCTTGCTGCTGCGTTGCCGGCCACGTGCTGACTGGTTCTGTCGAGATGAGAGAATAGGGATGCAAACTGTGCAATGCACGCTACTGCACGCACAGACTCGTTGTTTGCTGGAGTTCTCGTTGGCTTGTTGGCACCGGACAAGGCGTAAATTTGGATGTAGAGTGACGGTGGGGGTAGTTGGTATGCGCGGCTGTGCTGCCTCCACACGTACACGCGGACGGTGGGGGTAGTTGGTATGCGCGGCTGTGCTGCCTCCTATATACTTACCTCAAGAGAAAACGCCAAACTAGGACAGGGTGACCAAATCCATCAACCCGGGATATCTCATCTACTTGACAAACAAGGTGTCGCGAGATATACTTAAATACAGACTCTATACCTATAAAGATATAACGAGATCCGACTACATCTCTTGTAATAAACTAGGAAACCAGCCTAGTTAATCAGAGCTTTCCACTGTAACCCCTAGCTTCGGACTATATAAGGAGGTGTAGGGTGTCTCGATTGGCAGAAGAAGGATAGATCAATTATACTGTCTCCGAGCACGCTAATATACTTAAATACAGACTCTACCTATAAAGATCTAACGAGATCCGACTACATCTCCTTGTAATAAACTAGGAAACCAGCCTAGTTGATAGGAGCTTTCCACTGTAACCCCAAGCTTTGGAGTATATAAGGAGTTGTAGGGTGTCTCGATTGGCAGAAGAAGGATAGATCAATTATACTGCCCCCGAGCACGCTAATTATTGCCCCCGAAGAAGTTAAGGGTCAATTCTATTTTGCCTATATGACCTTTAGATACTTACATTTCAAAATGCAAATGGGACAAAATATGATAAGGAACCTCCTTGGAGGTGGCCCGATCTTCATGGTAGTAGGTCAAATAATCAAAGATAACCTACTACGACCAGCGAGATAACTAGCTTTATACTTGTCCAAGGTTAGATGCGACCAAGCGACGGGGAAAAAGGCACCAAAACCGTGAAGACTTTGACTCGATCTATGAACGACCGCAGAACCACAATCCGGAACTAATCCACACAAAACATTGCAGCCATACTAGAAACCGTAGAGCACAAACTAGGGGACCCAGAGCAATCTCTTCACAAGTTCAAGAAGGACAAGGAAGAACAAAGATGTGAGTAAGACACTCAGCAGCTCGGCTACAATATCATGAGGTTTATCAATTCATCAAAAGATTCCTAATAGCTTAGAGGCAAGGGATATTTATACTAGGAACAACCCTCCTAGTTGGGTATGAAATGGATTTAGAGTTTCTAAAGTGAAAGGCCTCCACGAGATGGAAAACCGTGGAGTCTTGCACGGCTGTTGCCCTTCTGCGTAGTCTTCAGTAATATCATAACTCCATCATGGGAAGTCAAAATGACGATCCGCTTGTTGCATTGGAAAGTTAACTTGGTTATCTTTCCAACCATGTATAGTGTGCACCATGAAATATTGCATAATGATATAGGTTTGCACAAGAAGTTCTCCATCACATGTTAATCTTCTGGGCAGTTTCTACTAATATGGCCATTACTCCTTATTGTGAAGTCCAAATGATACGAAGTTTGTTGCATTGGAAAGTAGGCTTGATAATCTTTCCAAAAAGTCCGTGTGGACCTCCAAAGCTTTAGGGAATCAAGATTTATGATTGTTTCTTTCTGCTAGTCTGTGTTGTCAGCCAGGTGGTGTGTTGGTTCAGCTTTCATGTAAACCATCTTCTCTCCTTTGCTCTAGCAGTAGCTCCTTCTTGTGTCAACCTTAGTAAGACATAAATAGAGAATTTAGGTAGTATAACATTCTCAAATATATCAAAGATAATTTCAGTTAGGAATGAATTCATGTTCTCTTGTAGTTTCTTGACACAATTTTGTGTGAGTGGTTTTTGATTTGTATCTTCTATGTTGTATAGTGAATGGTTGACACCTAAGGTAGATTGCATGGTTGGGATGTCCTCATCAAAATATCTGAAACTACCATGTATCAAGAAATGTCTTTAAATTGATATATAGAGAGAGAATACCTCAAATGCATAGCATCTTGTTGTTTCATAGAAGCTCTCAAAATAGTTAAATATTGTGATTGTGTCTATAAGAGTGGACCTATACGCAAAAAGGCTTGTAGCCTCAATAGCACCTCAGGTTCTGGGTTCGACTCTCCGTAGGAGCGAATTTTCTTGGATTTAACGACTTATGCTTTCAGTGGTCGGTGATGTTCCCGCCGACAGCGAGGCGCCTATTCGTCAATCTCATTGATGAGTAGAACTCATAAGAATTTTTTTTAGTTATTAGTCCATGTTTAGCCTATTATCAAACGACGGACTAAACTTTAGTCCGGTGATCCAAACGTGCCCTAAAACTACCGCAGCTGACGTTTTATCCCAGTTATAAGTCATCCAACTCAATCCAAGCAAGGAAAAAAAATAACACACAATAGTCATTTTTATTCCAAGTAGCTGTACGTGGGCCATGTCGGGCCAACAGAACGGGCATTCATACAAGGATCATTGAAACACCATCGATCGATCGTCACCAATTCACCATATGCACGCACGCACGTGTGCATATGGTCTCTTCTTGCGATCCGACAACAAACAAACACAAGCGGTGGATCGAACGAAACTAAGACCAATTTGGGCGACGTACGGGAACGGAACACATGCATGCATATCTATCGCGTCGTTGCGATCATCCAGACCGGCGCGCGGCCAGCCGGGTCGGCTCTGCCGGTGGATCCGGCCATTGATCCGATCCGAACAATGCAATGCATGCAAACAAAATCAGAAGGGGAGGATGTAGAAGCCAATGGCATCGAGGAAGTCGCCGGCGCGAGCGAACATGCCGACGATGCTGGCGTTGTTGAGCACGGGGACGCTGAAGGACGCGCCGGCGCCGCGGCCGAAGGGCCCGTAGGTGGCGCGGTTGGTGACGAACTTGAGCGAGGAGATGGTGTGGGTGAAGTCCCCGATGGGGCCGATGGTGCCGACCACCTCCGTCACGTACTCGTGGGGGCCCAGGGTGATGGTCTCGTCGCCCTCGCCTTTGCCGTTGCCGCCCCAGGGCCCGACGGTGTGCAGCTTCCCGTCCCGGTCCCGGTACGAGAAGGAGATCCAGTCGATGACCTTGCCCCAGCGCAGGGAGATGCTCTCCAGCCGCTGCGGCGCCACCGTGATGTCGCAGGGGCTCCCGCGGTCGCCGCCCCACGTCCCGATCTTCACCAACGCCGCCTGCATACACCATGGATTTCATTTCATTTATCTGCTGCTAGCTAGCTGATAGATATTTGAAGGAGATCGATCAGCAGTGCAAATAATAAAGAGACCGACCATGTCGTCGTCGCGATCTTTGCTAGCTGCTGGCTGGGTGTATCTGAGCTGAGGCGCAATGCAATGCACGCACAGGGTGTGTGTATATATAGATAGATAGAGAGAGAGAGAGAGAGAGCGCAACCGATACCGATACATAGCTAGCTGGGTAGTTGGCACCGGACAAGGCGTAAATTTGGATGTAGAGTGATGGACTGATGGTGTGGGTAGTTGGTATGCACAGCTGTGCTGCCTCCACGTACACCGAACCACGTTTCCAGCAGGGGCATTGACGGCGACAACGACAGGCATCGCTGCTGGGACGCATCATCGACTTCTTGCTGAGATCTCCATGTTGGAGATCGAACGCAACTGCTGAAGATATGCCATGCGACTTTCCTGATTTTCCTATTCGACTCAGGAACGCAGTAGCGGCCCACCGACAGGTAATCACCTCAGGTGCATCTACAAGCAGGTCCGTCTAACAAAACTACTCCAGCTTCATTGGCATGATCAATCCCACGGAGGACGATGATATGCCCACTCTGCTCTGAAACTGACCTTGCTGGTCTGACGGTCTCTGAACTCTTCGAAAGGGTCTTCCTCAACACCGAGGGGGACTCGACTTCGACACCGAAAGCGTCATGAGCCATGACCCCCATCTAGAGAAGGCTTCACGGCTACTCCCGAACGCGGCAACGAGAACAATAATGACGCTCTACCAAAAGACGCGCACGTCTCTTGTTACCATTCGTTGGTGGTATATGTGTCCTAATCGCCGTTTTAATTGGATTTCATGTTGTGTTTTAATTTAAAATGATTCCTGTTTAAAACACGGTATGTTTATGAGAATTTGACTTGATAGACTACGATAGACGTAATTTGTTTTCAATCTATAAACCTTATTCGTTCTACAGTCTCAACTAAATCATTTTTGAAATATCACAAGTACATGCCGCACAAAAATGTATTCGTTATATGACAAAGATTATCCTCGCGATAGGTCTGCTTGTGTGTTCTCCACCACTTTGGTAATTCCAGGAATCTCACCCGTGGCTTAACAAAGCATTGTGAAACTCCTCTCTTAATGAAACACGTGTACAGGCACATTTGCAAATATATATATATATATATATATATATATATATATATATATATATATATATATATATATATATATATATATATATATATATATATATATATATATTCCGTACCACGTTCGAGCTGATTTTTTTCAGTTGATTTTTTTCTTGTTGTCCATGTGTCCGTCGTCTTTTTTTTTTGTCACCAGCCGATTTTTTAATTAATCATTTCTTTGTTGGTTTGGTTTTTTTTGGCACGCTGATATTTTTGGTCGCTGGTCCACAAGTGATGCTGGTTGTTTTTCTTTTCCGTGTGTTCATCCGTTTTTTTTTATACAAAGGAACAGAAGATATACAACTATTTGATTGTTTTTTTTCTTGATTTTCTCTTTTCTTTCTAGCCTCAGGTTCCTCGTGATGAATTACTTATCAGCTAGAATAATTTCTTATCCAAACCACAAATACTATTTTAATTGAATCATAAAAATGTTGCATCACCAATCCTTAAAAGATAGTTGTATTTTATATTGCAACTTTCACACCGGAACACCAGATCTTTACACTGAAACTTCGACATTGAAGGGAATACTTGGAGCATGAATCACATGTACAAGTCATGATGACATCTGAGATTAAGTCGCAATACAATAGGACAATTAGGAGGTCTATAGCTCAATTAATTCAGAATACAAAAAAAAAACACAAAACTTTTACCAATCCCTAATATTGTCCATCGATGAACAAATAGATAACAAGATAGCTCTATCCTTCACTATATAGAACACTTTAAAGTTCAATCACATGAACAGTTCTAATTGGAATTGATCGGGGACGGCATAACGTCATGTGCAGGATGGCATTCCATATTGCAGCCTCATCATGACCTAGATAACAGAGAAATTTTGTGGATGGCACAAGCATTTATGAACACTAATGAACTTGGCTAGATCTGAAAGATTGCACCACACCACCTGCAAAAATCATTTGAATATGTTGCTGTCAATTTGACAGACTGTTGGAGATTACTAATTAACAAGCAGAAATCACATCCTTCAGCTGAAAGGGTCGTTGATCTACACACACCAAGGTAATTAGGAGCAAAACTCACTGCTAGTTTAATTGTGATAATAGATTGAGGAGAGGGTGCACATTTTGCTGACTAAAGAGGTGTCTGGGCATTCATTCAACCGATCATGTCAGGCTACGGTGCGCAGTACAACTGAGTATAGTTGAACTGTATAAATCACATTTCAAGCTACGAATCTTTTGCTGAAAAACACACATTCTAATTAGCCTTATGAAATTGGTAAGATCAAATCTTTTAGTTCAATAGACTAAGCAAGTTTATCACCAAGCATAAATAATACATGATAAGTCAACACATCTGTCAAGTGCACAAAAGCATTTTGGCATACAGAGAGCTGAAAGAGCAACAGCTGGCCATGGCTAAATGATGAAAAAAAGGATCTATATAACATGCATGCTAGAATTTCAAGAACATGGAGCTGCTGCTCTCTTGCAGAAAAGAACGGATATAATAAGGTGTTGAGATAATATTTGTAACAATGATAGATATTTGGCAACTAGGAATACAGCTCTAGATGGCCACTATAAGAATAGCTGCTCCACACAATTATTCATGAATATACCATATCAATTTCTATAAGCTAGCATGAGGAATGATGTGTTTTGCAATAATAAATATCAAACCCATTAACCCAATGTTAAATACTACATAAACTTCTTTTGGGGATTTGAACCTCCTTTGGCATAAAGATCTATTCGTCGAAAGAATAAATAACTATCAATGGCAGTAGATATAATTCTAATCAGCCACCAGCTACAAAGGCCCTCATTACTCATCTGCGGCGGCCCTCCCCTCCCCCTTCTTCTCCCCCGCCGGCGCCCCTCCCCTCCCCCTTCTTCTTCCCCGGCAGGCGCCCCTCCCCTCCCCCTTCTTCACCCGGCCGGATCCGGCCCTCCCTCTCCCGGATCCGCATCTCGCCGGAGGACTGCTACGACGCCGGGCTGCCCTGCGGAGTCTACACCGACCCCGGACAACACCGCTACTCCACTGCCACCGGGTTATCGCCAAGCATTGCGATGGCGAGCCCATCTTCCTCCAAGGCAGCCGATGGTTTGCACCCTTCACCCCTCTCTTTCTCTCGTTCTATCTACTGTTATTGCACTAGCAGATGTTCTAGGACTCACGGTTTTGTTCAATAGCAAATAGACATGCTAGTTCTATGCCTAGAGATTCTATTTTAGGTCTAACAATTGTTATGACCGTAGGAACACTAGGATCATAGATCTAGCCATAGACTGATTCTATTCGGGATAAAATAGACGCTATACATCCTAGTGCTTGTAAAACTAAAGAGACAGAGAGGGAAGGGGGAAGGTACCGAACCTTACACGACAGAGGGGGAGGGTTCGGAGGCCCCCATCGGGTTCGTTGATGTAGTCTGCGCACGGGCAGCGATGGTCGGGGAAGACGGGTCGAAGATGCGGTGCCGACGGTGAAGATCGACGGCGGCGCAGTGCAGCGGTGGAGGTACTTCCCGTCACTGGCTGCGCCCCTCACTTAGATCGGGTTTAGGGTTTGTCGGTGGGGAGGTCGGCTCAGGTCAACCTCGTGATAAGAGCCGCCGGCCCCCACCTCTTTTTATAGCGCAGGGTGACAGGGGCCCTCCAGCCATGGTGGGCTGGGCGCCCCCGATCAGGGCGCGAATCAAAGGCCTAACTGGGTCGTTGGGTCCAGTTAGGTTTGAGACCAATCTAACAATCTCCCCCTTGATCTCTTTCCATCTTTTACTTTCATATCATTTACTTTTGTTCATTCCATTACAGATTAGCGCATAGAGCATATTTCATCATCACGATCAATTGCTGATAGATTTAACAGCTACAACACACCACTTTGTTCTGAAATAGATACTTAACTTTGGGCCTTTTTTTGTCCAGGAATTTTAGGCTTTTCCTTAAACCCATGCTAGCTACATGTTTTCTGAACACGTTGGGTGGTAAGCCTTTTGTAAGCGGATCCACGAGCATCTTTACTGTACTTATATGCTCAAGACTTATGATTTGATCCCGGACTTTATCTTTCACAAATCTTAAAATACATTGATCCAGACATACTAGACTACTCCAGGATGATAAAAAAAGTCGGATTTTCAGGGGTTACTAATAAAAAAATTTATCAAATGAAACGAAATTCAGAGCTATGAATAGTCATCCTTGGCTAGCTACCAGAGCCAAACCATCCCTCCTATCATTGTTAGCATACAAACAATGCAGACCACAAGCACCTTAGAATTCCAAATAAAAATTAGGTTTGAAGTATTCAAGCCATATTCAAAGTTTCTAGTATCCTAGATCGCCTGCACAAACTGCATTAAATTTGTAAAAAATGAATCATCCAAATGCTGACTATACCTGATTGTCCATACCTAGAGGGAAGGAATCCAACCTGTATACCGCAATTAGTGTTTTGACTTTTGAATGCATTTTTGTTACCACTGCCAGTATCTACACAGTGCAGAATGTTGACCATATAACTTACATACCGACACAAAACATATCAAGATCTGGGATATCAGAAATAAAACTGCTATTCAAATCAGCATCACAGACTAGTAACGTTAAAAGCATGGAATGCCGAAACTGATCAATATATGTGACATACTTAGACAATACTACCAAGTGAGAATTGGGCTAGTGCCCCCCAGTACTTTGGTTATGGGGACGGACGAGGAGATTTTTTTAATCTCAGCCTAAAATTTGCTCCCACGGGGAGTTGAACCCAGGACTTGAGGAGTGCTACTGGGTCACCTAACCGTTTGAGCTAGGCGCCCTTTGGCTCATTACACTGACAATACAAAGCCATATACATTAGCTAATGTCCAAAGATAGTCAACGCAGAAGACTAGTTGGAACTTGGGTGTTGGACGTTACCAGAATAAAATATCAGAGGACACCAAAGATTATTTTTCATAATTTAAACTTGCTAGCCAAGTAGCCATTCAATAAAGGACCAGACATGGTCACAAACAAATATATATTCAGTTTTGCCAGCTGCCTGAACTTTATTGAAAAAACATTTATATTACACAAGAGCATAGCAGGCAGATTTTGCAACCTGCGACCTTCCTCTTACCTGTTGCTTGTCACTTGGTTTGCTTCCCATTAATCTCCAAGGTTGACACATCGACAACCTTTATGGAACCTTTGAATGGACTGTGTGTTGAATCATACTTGAACATATAAGCCTGAAACAGGACAAATGTCATGATGTTGATTACAGCTACAGTTTAGATAAGTCCTTTTTTTGTGATTATGCGTTTATACAATTCAGTGGATCAAAAAGGACATGCAATATACAACATGTCAACTGACATTAAGAAAAGTTTTGTAATAATTATTTTGGTAGTCATTCCTAACGGAGAAATACAAACTCAGCATTGTAGAAAGGAAGATACAATTCAAACATGTAATGAAAATAATTCCAAATTACATTGCTTTCAAGATTAATGATCGTTAACAGACACAACTGATCATGTTAGGAT